TATTACACTCGAATATTAAAAAAACAAAAGGTCAGGGGGCGGGGGCGGTTTCTTTGGGGGGTGGGGAAAGGAGGGCAGATCGAAAAGAGACAACCGCTTGAGGAACAGAAACCAAATGAAGCGCAGCGGAAGCCACGCAAAACGAGCACAAAAACAACAGAAGAAAACATAAATGAAAACGAAAACAAAACGAAAAACATAAAACATAAAAATAGAATTGACAATGCGTTGACAGTTGGCTCTGTGTTGGTGGAGCGGAAGAGGGAAGTTCCAGGGGTCAGGGGTCACAAGGGGGTGGAGAAATGGAAAGTCCAATCGCCCGCAGGAATCGAGACACATTCCTACGAAGTTCCTTCACTTCTTTTATCAAAAATGTAATAAAAATATATTTAATATTTATTTAATTTTTAAAATAAACATTTAGATGCATGATAATTAATATCTTACTCGGAAATAAATATTGTCTGGACAATTTGTTAAAATTAACATATGTAAATATTAAAAAAAGAATTGATATAATAACGAATTCTATTTAAGTGTATAAGTATAGTCTTTATCCAAATAAAATGCTGTATTCAAATAAAAGAAGTTTATGCGATTAGTTGCACCATATAAAAATCTTAAATTATGGAAGATATAAATATAATGGTATATGTCTAAAAACTATCAATATTAACTTTAGTTTATTAGTACATTTTGTTCCAGATATTATTAAACGAAATAGTCTAAGTTTTATATGAAAAGTGAAGTGTTTTTTTAGGAGTAGTAAAGTAAAATAACAAATAACTACCCAACAAAATTCGATCTTTATAAAGTTAAAAGTTGAATGAAACCACTCTACACATTTTGGACACATCCCAACAAATCTCTAATGCTTAAAATAAGACGCTTATCCTACAATTCCATTTTACTACAAGCCCTTACCGACTTAAATTACATGAGCATTGTATCCCACATAGATGACCAAACTGCAAGAAGGGATTCAGTTTGAAATTGAAAAGTGGCATCATTAGGATCACATTTATGGGGATCGGAAGTGACAGAACCCACTCATTGAAGCGTCATATATGGCACATTAATTTTCGCTGGAAATTGGTTGAGTTAATGTCCTGCCAAAAAGGACAGAATAGGCAGAGGGACGTCCGGGTCATCTGTCAGATTGGCAAAAGGTCGCCGAAGGATCCGATATTGATTTCACAGTTATTGCTGCTGACAAAGCGGCGCTTTCGAATGAAAAGTGTAATATTTCAATTTTGAACCCGCCACAATAGAGAAAGGGCCCGAAAGAAGGGGGAGTTGTGTCCGGAATGCGAACATGACACAATTTAAACTGCCTAACCCCTGACCCCTGCCCCTCATCCCTGATCCCTGATCCCTGACCATTGGCCACTGGCCACCGGGTCCACCCCCTTTCATTAGACCTGACCACCGCAGGGCACCACCTCCATTGTCCTGCGTGTCCCGCTCGGGTTTATTGTTATTGTTATTATTCGAGAGTGTCCTGTCCTCCTGCAACTGCCTAGCGGAAGTACTTCGTCCTTTGTCGCTGCACTTCTACGGCCTTGGCGGGATCCGTCCACGGGACCCATGGAAAACCCGAGCACGCGCCATACGGCGACTAATGACGAGGCCTGCGATTCGGAAACCCGCTCAAGTGCTTCTTTAAAATGCACTGAAAACATTAAATGGGATATATAAATACAAATAATAAAAAAGGATTAATATTGGTTAATTTACTGTGTAATGGAACAAGTAATTCCAAGGTAAAATATTCAGCCAACACAATTTAACTTTGTTTAAGTATAAATCTAATTGTAAGATATATAACTCATGTTTTATGTCGCTCATTTTATTTTGGATTGGTTTCACCATCGAGTATTTTTATTTTTATATTTATAAGTACTGTTTTTTTTAATACTTGTAATTTTGTTGTAGAAAAACAGGGTAAAAGTAATTGGTTTCGTAGTCTTATTAGTTTTAAAATTAAACAGTAATCTGAATGTAGTTCCACTGCTTTTGTAGATTTCTTATTTATTAAAAGGAATTCATACAGAAATGTTATGAGTTTAAGCATTGTTTTTCCCAGTGTTTGTTGTCAGCACCCCGGGCTCAACCCCCAATCGCCCAAGGAGTCAACTATCTGTCCATCTGTGGGTGGATGTATCTACATACATGTATCTTTTCTCTTCGACTGTGCGACTCATAAAGCCGGGGCTAAATGATGCAAGCAATGCCCCTTCGGTTGTTGCTGCTGCTTTTGGCACATGACAGCCAGCCAAAAACCAATAAATGTTCTCAAATTTATTGCTTTTCATTCAAAAATTACTTTTGTTTGTTTCGGTTTTCACAATCAAATCACACAGAGATCCATCCCATCCATCCCGGCCATCCCTCGAGGATATTTGCCGGACAGGACATCAGTTTTTATATCGCAAATTGTCAACAACAACAACGGCAGCAGCAACAACAAAGACTTTACTTTAGATGGTACATATATAAATAGATATAAAATTGCATGTGGGGAAATATCAATCTTTGAGATACAAAATAGGAATGGAGAAAAGTGCTGAGTTCATTGGTTTGCAACCTCATATATTTTAGTTACATGAAATCATTTTAAGTCAATACTGAAAAAGCTTGCATAAAGTTAATATATGCCGAATAACCAATCTATAGTCAGTTAAATAATATACATTTATTTTATCTGCTATTAGATTCATTTTAAAACATAAAGCTATCTTGCCAAAAACAGCTTTTAGAACCAATCTTTTATTTTAAGACCTGGCTAAGTATTTAATGTATATACCTTATCTTTAGTTAGCATGTTAGCCCCTCCCCCAAAACATCAACATCTTCATCAATGTGCTCTGATGAACGACGATTTATTCCAGCGATTAGGCGAAAGGCATTTCATATTTTAGCCAATTAGGAGAACGATCGCAACAACGGACCCAACAAGCATCACTAATTGGCAGACATTTAACACTCCCCCTTTGCGATGAGCTCCCCATAAAACGATTTCCAAACGAAAATTGGAGGCACTCAGCCAGCTACTGCGACTGCAGATGGAGAGATGGAGATCATCATCATCATTGGATCACCAGATGAAGGGGTATTCTTCGAAGATGGGTGCTACATGGCTGCAGTCCCCACGCGCCGATTCCGATCCGGATGATTAATTGCCCCGAAAACGTTTGTTTTCATAAACAATTTTTTTAATAGGCCCTCGCATGTGTTGGCTGTCGACTTCCATCGCATGAAAACCTACGTTTTTCGGGGTCAGAGAGTGGGTGGGGTCAAAGAGTTAAATCGAATCGAGTGTTGTCGTTGTCGTTGTTGGATCTTAATGCAGATGACTCCGATGACTCCTATGATTCCGGACTCCGTCAGCTATTTTCGTGTCCTCCGCCTCTGATCGATGCACTCGAGTGGGGAATGTAAAAAGAGTTGATAAATCAAAATGTTCTCCGGAGCCACAAGGCATTCGAACGCCCCCGTGGCCCTGACAAATGAGCTCTTGGCATTCGGGCTTATTGAAGGTGTTAATTGGCAGCAATTAGGATGGACCTTAAGCGGTTGAAATTCATAATTCCCGCCATTCAAAAATAGAAACACACGCGGTGAAAAAAATAGAAAGAGCAACAATCGAAAGAAAAACATTCTCCCAACGGCGAGGGTGACGTGGAAATTTATGAAATTTTTGTGCGCTCTGGAGGCAGAGGCATTTCCCCAACAGATTTTTTCAATTAAAATAAAAAATGTTTTCAACAGGTGACAAAACAATTTTACGGCCCAAACCGCACGAACGCCATAAAATGGGATTAGCCATCGGGGAGATGATCAAAGGAGGGGCTCCTACTCCTCGTTCTCGTTTCCTGATGCCTTGTTTTGAGTTAAAGGGACCATCAAATATTTTATGCATTTTAAATTGCTGCTAAAAAAGGCGAGCTAACGTGCCTTCACCTCTCGCCATTCCAGCCATAAATCTAGGGGCTCTGGAGATACTTTTTTCTTTTCTCGACCGACAGGTAGATACTTTTCTCGGTCCAAGGACATGCCGACACTTGGCCTCAAGTGCATTATGAATATGAAGCAATAATATGTTTATGAACCTCATAACGATGCAATTTATGAGGTCATCTGGCATTGTCTGCAGCTCCTTTGTAGGTCAGCCTTTTGGCTTTTGTTTCCCCGCTCGGCAAAACACATAAATAATACCAATATCGATGGGGAACTGGTTTGCCAAAGGCAGGAAAAATACAGCTGTGCGGCATGCGGAGAGTACAGGTGGAAGTCGCTTTAAAGGCATTCGATTTTCGGGGGACCAAAATGCGGCTCAACATTGGTTGAACTTCGAAGTGGCATTTATACCATACTACTTTGTACGTCCCCTGTTTGTCATTAATTTATCTCTGGCAAATACACATGTCGCAGAAACATAATTATTTATTTTACACTTTAGGCCGCTTATAAATTGACTGCCAACTGGCTTATGTTTGATCCAAATCTGGCTTATACCATCGCTTTTTATGGTCAATCGTTTGTTTAATTTCAAGAATATTGCCATAATTAATTTTTATTACGCCACATTTATGCAAACATGTATTTATTTATCTATCAACATCTCGATATTAGTTCCATAAATCAGACTCGAATGACTAATTCAATAAATTTAAATAGCCGCTTTTAAATGCCATTAATAGGCTAATGGCTTATTGTCCATAACTTGAGATGGTGATTAAAAATGTATATTATGACTGTGTGTTTGCGCACAATTGGAAGTTTTTTATGAATACAACTTTGTAGAAAATGATTCCGAGTTCTCAGAATGATTATATGATAAAAATAAAACTGGTTCTCACATGATATTCAATATTTTTGCAATAATAAATTTTTTGTTTGTTTATTGCTTATGGATTTAAATTATAGATTTTAAAATGTAAATCAACTAGTCATAGATCGAGAACTCATATCTACTTTTACTGCTTTGTGTTCCTTTCAATCATTCTCAATCCGGCTTTCAGTTAGGTAACAGATCGGTAAAAAAAATCTCCGGCCAGCAAAATTTTTCTAAAATTAGTTTTATAACAATTTTAAAAAAATGGCAGACGGTCCGGAATTTAATTGGGAGTACAGTTACGGTGGTCAGGGAAATCCCTACGCTCAGGTGAGATTGTTTTTTTACTTTCAGGTGAGTATGGCTTACAATGTTATTTTTTAGGCCGGTAGAGCATCTGCCGCGGTTCCCGGAGGCGGTGGTCGTCAGTGGTTGCACTCCACCCAGGCAAACACCCAGCACTTTGTTACGGGGTCGGGATTCCCCGGATCGGGATCACATCCCCAACACGCATCCCCAAATGATCCCTTTGCCTCCTACAACCAAAGCATGATGAGTCAGTACACGAATTTCAAGCCCAGTTACGGACATTCGCAAGTGGGGTAAGTACATTACTCTTAACTTATTCCTAAAATAATTTTTTAATTTATTCCAGGCCAGCCGCGATCCAAACTGTTGGTCCTGATCCCAGTCAAGAAATGGGTAGGGGAATGGGCCGCGGAATGGGCAATGGCATGTCCGAATCGATGGGCTTCAATGAAGGCATGAATCAGGGCGAAAATATCTTTGGAGCAGGAATGGGCGGTGGTTCCAGGCGTGGAGGTCAGAGGTTAGCTGGTGGCTACTCTGCCCGCTCAAATGGTAACGAAAAGTTGAAGACCTATTCCTTCCTGCTAACTATATATAATTTAAATATTTCAGGCCTTAACGACTCCCATCTGCATCGAAACCATCGAGGTAGTTGGTTCTAGAAGACCGCTCGATAACTATTCTCCGCTCCAAAGATTGTTCGATTTCTTATTTAAAAATTTTTGGGCCAACCGTTGTCTTCCCAAACGCGTTCGTAGATTTGGCATAAAGTGTAGGCTACCCATAAATTATATTTACTTACCGAATAAATCAAAATCTTCCGTATGATAGATCGATAATTTAACAAATAATTAATTGGCTAGCCATAAGTTATATTTACTTACTGAATAAATCTAAATTTGCGTTCGATGGATTAAGAAATAATTATTTGGCTACCCATAAAATATATTAACTTACCGAATAAATCTAAATCTTTCGTTCAATAAATGAATCATTTAGTAAATAAATATTTGGCTCATCTATCAATCTATAATCGCGTGTCCTCTGCTTATCGACGACCGTTTAATTGTAATCGATATTCAAATGCAGCCGAGGGTCAAACGGCCATTAACGCTTTTGATTCGGCGGGTGACCTTTTGCACTGGCGGGTGCCGTGGTGCTGTGACCTCTGTCAGCAGGGATCTGTATGGAAATCAGGGGAGGCGAAGGGGAGGGGAAGGGGGATGGCCTTAGTTTCGGGAGGGTGACACAAGGGCATAAATAACAAATGCAATGTATTTGTATGTATAAATTATGATGATACTATTAGTTAGCATGTCATTTGGCAGCGGGTCTATAAATTACGGACAGGCAACAACTGCGCCGCACCACCCCCTACATTTTCGGAGCGATGTGCATCCGTTTTTTCGGTAGTTTTTATTAATAAATCTACATATACTTACCGTTTCGGGGCTCCAACATGGACTGTCACATGTCCCCGTCTCGGGAACTCCTCCTCCTCGAAACTTGGCGCGTGTGTAATGATCTGTCGCCCTGGATCAGAGCACCGGATTAATGGTAAACCGAACGCATTTTTCATCGAACATTCTGCTGCATTTTTCCTCGCCTTCCGCTGTGTTTTTTACGGAGGAACTAATTTATTTGTGGGCAGAGTTTGGAAAACTATCTGGAATCGCTCCGGTTATGAGACCGTTCGTTGTGCTCCAGATACGCCGGGACAGTTGGTTCCGTTCCCCGCCATAAAACCCTGGATGGATTCGGATCCCCGCGTGGAATGCCAGTCACGTCTTGGACAGATAGGCCAAAGAATAGAGCTACAGCCAGCCGACAATCACTCCGCCACTCCACTCTTTTGCCTTCATTTCGATTCAGCCTTTTCGTTTTTGTTATGTATATATAACATTAAGTTAGTCCGTGACGGTTTGGCGGTTGGCGAAGGGGTCACAAATAAATTAAAACAATTGAAATTTACATTAACATTTCTCGAGCCGGTTGGGTCTTGTCTTAACACCTCTTTTGTCAGCTGTGCTCGAAGGGAACTATTCAAAAGTTGGGTACTTTTGGTTTCTTATAAACCATGGATCCAGAAATATTTTTAGCATAAAAGATAATGGAGCATCTACCAATAACATACTTATAACTTTATGAAATAAATAATTATGTTTAATGCATTTATATAGTTTTAATATTTTCGGAAAATAAATTATAAGTGACAGAAATTTTTGATACATAGATTATTACTTTAATCACTTGCAATACAATGGCCTCATTTGTCGTCTTTCCATCAATACCAGTTAATTTAGATTAAAATAGCTTACAGTACAGAAATACTTTTAATTTAAAGCCAAAGATTTTATTCAATTGTAGATCAACGATTTCCCGACTTTCTATCAACACCCATTAACTTAGTTTTATATAGGGTATATAGGAAAGGGGCTCTATTATTGCCGTTGCCCTTTCACGCCGAGTAGTTGAAATATCTTGGTGTTATTTTAATTCGTGTTCTCTTTTATTTCTGTTTTTTATTTTTGTTTTCCCCGTGCTGTTGTGCTTTGTCGGTTGCTTTTCGTTTCGAATTTGTTTTCTATGCACTTATTTTATTGTGTTTTTATATTTATTATGTGCTTTCCTCAAGTCGCCTTTTAATGTGCCACATTTACGTAAAAATGTATTTTTAATTTATTTTCTAGACCGCTTTTGTCGCTTTATCGAGCTCATCGGGTTCAGGTTTAATTTCTGATTCGGGTTGAGGTTTAGGTTTGGGTTGAAGTCGGGGTCCAAAGGAAAAGGCAAGGCGATAAGCACGCACCATTTTGGTGGTTTTTGAATTCAAATTGAGTTTTTATTTTCGGGCTGTAGTTGCTGTAGTTGCTTTTATTGTCGCGGCTTTAGTGCCGTGTAATGAAGGGTTTATGGGGCACTATACAAAGTTATATTTAGTGCGGATGAGGAGTACACTATTGTGTTGTGTTTTATGGAGCACTATCCCTATGTCTTCGGTATAGTTTCTGTTCGAGGTAATCATTCAAAGTCAGAAGATTCAAATGAAATAAACAAATTTAACAGTTTTCAAAAGTTAAAAAAGGGTTAGTCAAATGAATGGAAGAATAAAACATTTAATTTGACTATCTTATCAAAGTTAATGGTCAGATAGGTTATTCCAATCTAAATACATGTTAGCATTGCTGTATTTTGATATTTCAAATGAAAAAGAACAACTTATAACCCAAACAAATTGCTGACACTCCCACGCAATAAAGACCGCCGCTCCAAGAGCATATAAATTGCAAATTGCAGAGATTGAAATGATATATACGCTGCACATATCTGTTAGAAGCTAACTGGCTGATTCAGTAGCTCCGATTTCGCGTTGTTGGGGGCTGGCATGAAATCAAATAAAAAAGAAACGCAGGCTGGTGGTCGGCCATAAAATCAACACTTTGGTTAGCAAAACAAACCGTTTAATGCAAAACAAACAGGAGGCGACAGCAACTAGCCACACCTGGCCAAATAAAAAACGAGATACACGGACGAGTGTAGTGTTGATAAGGGCGTGTCCCGGAGCGAAAAAAATTGCACAATTTGTTCGACATTTTTGTCGAAAACCGCAAAAATCAATTTCCAGTTCAAGTGTCCCGTGGCAATGGTTTCTTCTGTGTGCGCGGCCCCAATTCAATTAATATGCAAAATTGTTCCAGTGACATTTCTATTGAGCGTAATTGAATCATACTAGCCATACCCAAAATTCCCCTTGGGCCCATTTTTCATGTTTCATGCTCCCAGTTTCGTGTTCCGTGTGTGTAATTCCAGCTGGCATCTCTGTTTTAACCCAGCGAGTTGACAACTCTATTCGCTGTCCACCCGCTGCGTCCGATGCATTTATCACGCGGCCTCCCCGCCGAATCCCGAATCCCCGAAACCGAATCCTAACCCTAGTCCAGATAACAGCGGGTGGTGCCCAATGTCCGGCCCGAAAGCGATTAACCTTCGCGCGGAGCGGTGTCAGTTTAAAGTTGCCATTAACACGCCATTGTTTGGCCTCCATGGTCACTTCCCACCCCCATCATCCGAACTATTATGCTATAGATACTATCTATTCCTTCTACTGACCGGATCCCCGATCCAGTTTCTCAGCACTTGATTGATATGTCCAGCCGTCCCGAGAAATTAGAGAACACATTCAGGAGGAAATGTGTGAAAAGTAATCTGTGATGCAGTTGGAATCTTTCGGAGTGTTAGCTTATAAGAACGATCTTTTAAATTGCAAGGCCTTAAATATATGTTTTCCCACACTCAAAAGTAACATTTTTAACTTTGAAACGGTTGAATTTCTTTTCAACTCTTTGAAAACTAATTACTAATTTTGAAAAAGTTCAATACAAATACCGTAATAAACGTAAGCAAACATGATTTAAGTTAAAATCTCTTTTTTCAATCTGTTTCTCTCCTTTTTGGATTATTCATAAATTATTGCTTAGACGCATGTTTTTAGAATTCCTTTAAAAGTTATGATTATTTTGGTAATGTAAAATCTGAAATGTTTTTGTTAATAAAGGCACCACTATTCAAAACTCAAGAACTGATTGCCCGCTCTTCCCAAAAAGGAAACAATACTTTAAACTGACCAAATCAAATCGCCGAAGAATGAAAACCGACATTCCTTGATAACCATAAAACGCATTCGAAGGGTCAAAAGTAATCAGGAAATTGTTGCCATTATTCGGAGCGGGTAAACGACAGCTGCCGGGCAAGCAGTCATCGATTTTGTTGTCTTTCCACTCGAATCGATCGAAAAAAGGGAGCAATTCCAACAATTGCGCTAATTTCGAATTAAATTTTTAATCTCCAGCCGTCCGTCCACCCACATGCGTGGTTCCTTCCGGATTTCACCCCGAGTACGGGTCATCTATCCGTCCATCCACTGACCCATGGTCATCGGCGGCCACACCCTCACCTCTCCAACTCCAACACCAACTCCAACTCAATCGCCATCGAAACAAAGACAAACGTCAAAATTAACGAAGGATTTGGCGATTTAACGCTCAAAAAACCAAACACAAGATGAAATGCGACTCGCTCCCGAATACGAAATCAAAACTCACACAAAATTAAATTCCGAGTGAAGGGATGAGCTGGAGAAAGGCGAGTCCTAAGCGGATTTGGAACGCCCACAACAATTTGTAACGGCCGGCGGACAATGTCCCTGCCACGAGACGGGTGCGTGTGCCAACCCGATGGCCACGATTCCTATTTGGCCCGAATAGACTCCTTTGGCACCTACAAATCCGGAGGGTCAGCAGCGGGCGGTCCGCGGGGACTCGGGTTCAGTGTGCACTGAGGGAAAAAGAAACACCTGGAAGTGATTTGACAAAAAAGCAAAGAAGATTTTCGTTATTTTTATTAGAAATAGATTCCCTCGTACATTTTTTCACTTTATTTTAAAAGATGAAAGTGTTAATTGAATATGCAAAAATAATTATTATTTGAAGAATATATTTATTTATATAATAAATAAAGTCTCATATGATCTATAATAAATATATGTATGTATAATCTATGATTTCTTAAATAAAAAATTGTTGATTAAATATTATAAGGCTCAGTTGAAAGAGACCTATGTATTACTTAAGAAACCATAAAAATTATAAAATAATAAAAAACAAAATAATTAACTTGATAATTGTTAACATGTTAACCTCTGAAAAAATTATCAAACCAATAAAATAATCATCCAAAAAGAAAACTTCATATAAATTTAATTAATACATTAAAACTTACGTTTTTAACAATCTGTCTTTTCTTCCAGTGTTGCCACGCGCCAAATTCGAAT